CCGCGAGTGACGAACACGTTTTCGTGGCTGATTATATTCTCGTGCGCGGTGCAAGATGCGCTCCCGACGCCGTGACGGTGGCTGAACGAGGAAGAGGCCAAGTGGCTCGTACGCGTACGGCCCCCGATTCCATCGGTCAGCTACCCCTCTTCTTATTCCTTCGCGTCTACCCAAGCCAAGAAGAATGTGCTCCGCAAAGTACTCTTCCCCGGTTCGTCGCTTATCTCCTTGGCTGCGTTGATCTGCCACGCGGAAACAGGTGAGATGAACGTCAAGATGAGATGTTGTCGTCGCGTAATCGAATACAGGACCCTCCACATTTCCTGTTCCCACTCTATGCTCGGTTTTTCGACTTTTATTTTCCATGCAGACACGATCGCGCGAGCGTGCCCATGCGTATATCATACCTAAGTAGTATTTTCGATATTTATTGGACGCTTCAGGTAGAATTGATATTTCATTCGTACATCTGATATTATGGCTTTCGGTCCGGTAGATATACAAGTGCTCGGAATTTAAACTCGAGCAACGCAAGTTTTCTTTTTTATTTTACAAAGAATTAATATATCCTACATTTAACATGAAAAACTCGTATCCTTTTTTCTTATTATATTGACTTCAGAATTGGATTAACACTAATGTACGTACATATGTATGTACCTATGTGGAATTAAGTTTAAGAATAGTGGATATATAGTACTTCTCGCCGAATCTTATTTTTCATGCTTCACCGAATCGTATTTCATTTTCCTCCGTTTTGAATTTCTTAAATTTCAAATTCTCAATGCATGTATACATATAGATACGATATATGTACATATCGTAAGATTAAACTCACTTGTTGAAACTAAAATGATTAGAGTGAACTGTTTATTCGTCTCGCGTTTAATATCTCCTTTCCACCTTCGAAAATAATGCGATGGTCGGACAATTAATTTGTTTCCCTCGGAGCAGGGCAAATTCGTCGACTGTAATTCGTCATTGACGATCCTGCGCCGATCCAATTGCCAACAGTGGTCGTGCCTGTGTGCGCAGTCAGCGCTCAAGCGCAGGCACGAGCCGTGTCCTTTTGGAAACACGAGATCCGTTTGTACGCACAGTGTCGACGACAGAACTGTATACGCCATTCGCGTAACATTGGATCGTCCTTGTAAAAATGCGCAGGATTCACGGATAATCCTCGGAACAGTATCTATCAATTGAAAGAGCCGAGGCTACGGTAACCCCCAAACATCTCAGCCATTTGCCAAGTTTGCACACTTTCCCAATTATTTGTACGAGATATCGAATTCTGCTAATAGATTAACCGAATCTTTCCGCAATCTCTGCCGTTAAACGAGGCTTTGTGTCAATTAAAGCCTCAAGTACCTTATTATTAAAGCCTACTAGCTGCGGCTAGGTTCGGTTCAGCCGAGGAATTCTAGTTACATTTACGATATACCAACTTTCGTGAGCATAAAACACCTCGGCTTGCCTTACAAACGGTTTTCGTGATAAACATAAGATTTTCGGGTTTTCGTGTAAAAAACACCGAATGCTTGCATCCGAATTCAAACGTAAGAATGCAACAAAATTCTGAATAGTTTTAAAGGTTCAATTCTCTGTTTATACAATTCCGTGACTTCCGTATAGCTATCGGATTTTGGCCGCAATGTGGACGAGGTGTGAACATCCTGGCTTTTCAGTGGAATCAAATCGGTGTCAGAAACAAGAACCCGCGATACAGACAGTGTCGGTTAGAACTCCCACGCGCCTCTTCACAAAGGTCTAAGCATGTCGAGATTCGCTATTGTACGATTCAAACATTATGATATACAGCGACATTCGAAATGCAAACTACATAATGGTATTACCAAATCCGAGCAGCAACGTGGACTCGAATGATTCGATAATTGCGCAAGGAAGTTTTTCGAAACGAATGTCATCATTTTGTCTGAATAGTTAATAGTGTACGCAGGGGAAGTAAAGTTGGCTGTCCAGAAAGGATATATCATCGAGCGTAATGCGGTGAAAACATTACGATCTGGTCCGCGTTATTGAAACGAGACTGCGGATATTCGTAAATCTGAATTTACCATTCGAAATGACCGAATATTTCCAAGGAGTTTCTTGGTTCGAATCAGAGAAAAAGAGTCCACGATTCTCTGTTCGACGCGGAGCAGAGAGGGGAACGTCCATGGCCCTAAAGCTTTCCGTGCTCGTTCTTTCCGATGATTCGTTTTTCTAACAAAAGAACGCGGCCGGCTCGTAGCTGTAGCATGCAACTTTGCGAAGTACGAGCGAGTTTCGTCGAGTAGCTAGAGTAACTGGAGTAACTGGAGTAACGCGAGTCGCGTGTTTCGTGTTACACCAGAAAAATGTATCGTCTTTCGGAGTCGTTCGGTAAGAGGGAAACTCCAGCATCCGGCAGGTAGGTAGACGAAAGTTCCGCGGGAGGCGAAGCTCGCGTGAGTGGGTCGCGATGTAAAATGATTTTACTCTCGAGGCAGTCCGAGCTCGCTCGAAGACGGTTCTCCGTATATTTATCTAATCGCCAAGACGAGATGTTCTCCTTTTCGAGCGCGATCCCATCGATCGCGCGGCAACTTCCCCGCCGGAATTAGAAGCGAGTTACTCGAGGATTCTATTCTGTTCTTCTCGACTCCAGTTTGTTTGTTCGTTTTAGACCCAGAGTACTGTCGATTGAACCCGAGTCTGCGGCAACGCGGTGTTGCTATGCAAATTAATTTACGAGCCGCGCCAAATTAAAATCATTTTGCTGGAGACTGTCACCGCGATTCTAGAGTGCAGTGGCCACGATTCTGCCACCACATTTCATTGCACACCTCCTTTTCCACCTCCATCGTCCTCTTCGACGGGTTATAAAGGAAGGATATCGTAACCAGTTGAAGAAGCAAACGAAAACTCGGCGATTCTTCGATCCTTAGTGTCCCCTTCTCGTTCAAGGAAGCTCGGCGTAACGAGCGTAACGGGCGATTAGATTCTCCCGTTCTCGAAAAAAACCGGAGGCCACCGGTGGCTCGTAAATTCGGCGTGCCGCGTACCCGCTCGGCTCCGGTGAATTACGGCCGCGAGAAATGACATTAATTCCGTGGAGAAACGAATTAATTCCCCGCAACTCGGTTACCGTTCCCGTCGCGGGACAATTCCTTGTTTTCGTTCGAGTGGCCGTCGAAGCTGCCGTTTAATTGAGAGGATTCAACGGCTGTCCTCGATCGACCGGTCGAATTTTCAACCGACGGGATGGCGATTGCATCTTCTTTAAAAATTGTGGGAATTTTCTGGCAAACTTAATGGGACAGGATTATTGGTTGGCGGGGGTAGGGGTAGCGATGTAATTCGATGTTACCGTCCCGCGATCCGTGAACTGCCTACTCCGCCTCAAGATAATACAGTCCGATTATTATGAATGAGACACTCTTGTTGGGCAACACTTTTTCTTCCGCAAAGTTCGTTTCGAGTAATTTGTGCCACGGTCGCGTGATGATGTTTTCGTCCCGGTAGCCAGGAAAACAAGGACGAACGAAATAAGCAAAGAGTTCTCCACTTATCTTTAGCCGAAACCTCGGCTATTATTGCGCCGATTTCGAGATATTTTTACAGGGGATCAATAGCTCGTCGTTCCCGATGCTTGTGAATCGTTTGAAACACGCGCGCACGATTTCGTATGCATATGCATACTACCGTTCCGAGAGTTGTTTCCCCCGTGTACTTCAAGGTTCCTGCTGCGTGGTGTAATTTCCTGTGTTGGAATCCGGGCTCGTTCAAATTCATAGGCTCGATCGATATTTTCGCAAAATTCAGTTGCGACTGCGGCGGAAGAATCGTTGGGGGTGGGAGTCTCCGTATTTCACTTAACGTATGAAGCTTAAAAAATGCAAATGCCGCGGCAGGCATAGTTACCGTTTCTGTCAAGAACAGTCTACACGTATGCCATTCCATCGCGCGCAAACCGTAGAAGCTTAAAAAGCAATTTCGTCGATGCGACAGAGGTCACTACAGTTTAATTGTCAGCCCTTAGAAAGTTCGCTGGGCTTCGAGGCGGAAAGGTTAAACGAAGTTTCGAAGTCTATGTATTACAAGTATTTCCGCAAGCTTTTATCCTTGGAGCGACGCGACGTGTACGAAATGATGAGAGTTTGTTTAGTTCCGTCCAGAAATCGAGGATGACCGAGAAGGTACCGCGCATAAGACAAATGGTCCGGCTATAAGAGTTGCGGCAATGATGAATTTCAGTCCCGTTAAAATTCTTTGCCTGCAGAAGCCCTGCCGCGATCGAATTTCACACCCTCTGGGACTCTGGTGATTGTCTTGGTAACTTGAAATCAATATGAGGCCATTACGAGCATCAATTGGAAAGAGTCAACGCGAAGTCTGGCTTCGCTACGAAACACTTCAAGTCACTGTACACAACCTTGATTTCGTTCCGCGGCTGGAGTAGCCCTTAGTCTCCGAACACGCATGATGCATTCGTGGTTAAATTAGTCGACGGTTCCAGGCCATTGTCTCTATATTTCATCCTATCGATACTTCTTCGTTTCTCTGCCGGATAGGTGAGCTTGTACCGACAAAGATCTACGGGAATGAAAAGAGCAAGAAATCGGGGTTAACAGAATCGAGACATTGACCGATTTTTTTTTCGTTCGAATAGGCACCGTCGGAAGAAACGAAGCTAACGCTACTCCCTATGCTTGCAGGCAGGACTCGGGCGAAGGACGGAGTGAACGTGAGACGACACGGTGTCGGCAAAAAATGTGGGATTCTTGAAGGGGGGCAGGAGGAAGGGTAGAGGGAACGAGTCGAAACCAAGAGCCAGCAAGTGGAAGAGGAGGAGAAAAAGCGTGTGGTGCAGAAGAGCCGAGGAGAGGCGTGATACGGCGGAAAGAATCAATATCGGAGGAAGCAGAAGAAGAGAAGCATCTCGAAGGCAAACAGAAGTCCCGGAAAGACCGTGCGGGGGTGCGGGGCCGGAAAAGGCTTGTGAAGAAACTAAGGATTAGATGGTGGAGGTGCTCGAGAGGCGGGCTAGGGAGCCTACGGGGCCGATCAAGGCACCTCGCACCTACGCAGGGCCAGGCACCCCTGTCGATCGCTGCCGGCAAGTCGAGCTCTGGCTGCGTGTCTCTCGCGTTCTCCTCGAGGATGATCTCTTAGCCTGGAGGCTGCTCGCTTCGATCGATCGTTGTTGTTCTTATCCGCCGCGGAAGGTGGCCGACGGGGGCCAGAACTTTTCGGCGCTCGGACAGCCGCGTGTCGAGGACATTACTCGCGTGGGTGCAGCGTTCGGGAGGCTGGAGATAGAGGACGCCGCGTCACGAGAGAACCGGAAGAAGAAGAACGGCGAACGGGTGGTGGTGGTGGTAGTCGACACGGATCGCGATCAAATCGGGAACGAAACCGAAGAAACTCGGGAGGAAAGTGAAAAGGTGAAAAAAGTGAACAAGCAGGAGGAGCACGAGGAGCAGAAGGAACAGAAGGAGCAGAATAAGCCGCGTGACAAGTGGGATAAAGTGGTGCACGGCGGAGGCGTGCTTTCGAGCAGGCTAGAGGGTCGGTTGGAGCCCAGGAAGGGCTCCTGCGAAAGGAGCGAGACTGGCGAGCGCAATGTGGCAAAGCGGCGGCATGGGCGCCCATGCGGCCAACAATCCATGGATGAAATTAATGGGCATTGTTCACAAGGAGAGGAGACATCACGACTCGAGTTCCGCCGCTGCCGCCGCTTCCGGTGTTCAGGGCTCTGCGACTACTGGCAGCAACGATCGGACCCTCAATCAGTGAGTCATACTACTGCTTGCTTCATGTTCCTTGTTTACTTTTTAGCCAACTTTTGCTTCACTTTCCGCGTGCTCAAGTTTATGGATGCTGGTTCGAGTTGTTCTACGACCCGTAGGGATAGCCAGCTTTGCGATTAAATGTCAAATCTCAATAATCCCCGATGTTTTTAAAATCAACAGACACACCTGAACATGCAAGGAAAGACAATGCCTTTTGAATGAAAACCTTTAAAAGAGATTCTGTCGAGGGTAAAATATCTTTATGTATTTATCGACCTGCCGCAGATCGTTGCGTAAAATGATTTTTTACATTCCGGTATGCGGTTTATTCTTGAAAGATTTCTTAAAGAAAGTAAATCTCATATCGATCGAGAATTTAATGACTACGTATTGAATTTTCGTTAGAACACCAATAGAGGTAGTCTAGAGTAGTAAGTCGGTGCAAAGCATATCTCATGGGGACACTGTTGTTTCGCAATAGCAAGGAGGACTGGAAAAACTCATCGGTTAATCAGATTTAATCGAATTTGTTGTTAGGTTCAGGCAAACCGTAGGCATCATTAGGCAAAAAAGTAATTTCGCATTCGCTGTAAGACAATTTGCCCCAATATTTCCGCAGTTGGAAAAGCGCAGTTAGAGATTGCGACGTTTTACACGAGGGAACGCTGCTTAATCGAGTATAAAACGGGATCCGGGGTAAATTAAAACTCGCATCTGATATTCCCCGTTAAACGTTACAATGCGAGCACGCTTGTCGCGTTCAACCGTGTTTCAGTGCTGCGGCTTTTTTTCATCGTCTCTCGCGGGGCCTCCGCAGTCTGACGCGGTAATTCGCGATAAATTACGTGCAATTACAGTATATCAGGGGCTGCAACGAGATCAGGCTTTACCACCTGCTGTCCTATCTAGGTACATCCATAGGTACGTGCATGCCCGTTTCACGATACACTTGTGTCACACTTCAAGAGGATCTGCAAGCGTGAAGAAACGATGATTTCATATGAATCGAATCGGAATGAAGACCTTCTAATGGCTGTACTAACGAAATTCTGGCTGGCGTTTGTATGTTAATACACGCAATTGCGATACTCCATCGACTTGAGGCCCTTGAGTTTCAAATTTTGTAACGCGTGACAGAATAAAATTGTCCTCTCGAGGATCATACGACTACAGTTAGTTGGATCAATATTAACGAGCCACTGGAGGCCACTAAGAGCCAATTTCCGCACCTTTGTGCCAAGTATGGACCCGTTTTCGGAGGCACGAATACTCCTCCCATGCATTTCTACCAAGACATGCCACTAATCGAACAAATCTCGTTTTAATATCCGATATCAATACTCCTTCTATTATTCTCAATCAATACTCTTCTGCTATCCTGGATAGGCAAAGACCTCCGTGATCTAACGAAGTCGTAAAGAGTAGGTACGGAGGGCGTAAAAGGGCACTCGAGAGGGAAGCATTGTTTTCGCGACGGAAAAGAGTGCTCAGTCTTCCTTATCGAGTGGATGTCGTGTCAATCGCGTGGAATTATTTATCGCGGCTCGAGATCGGGGGGCCGGATTCAAGGAGGCTTCTCGATCGAGGGCGCCTCGAACGGAACTGATAATCGCGGCTTGTGCTTTATTCGTCGAAGAAAAACGTACTCGAGGATCTTTTGATGGGCCCGCGTCTATGGAATCCTGGCCAACGCGAGCGTATCTGGCTAGTGTCGATCCTGAAAATTCTACGAACAAGCTTCGGCCTTTTTCTTGTTTCCCTTTCGCCTCGTTTTCAACGGTTTCGCGGTACCGGCACCGCTCCAACAATGCGCCTTGTCGCTTGATGCCCCACCACTTTCGCCCACAACGCGGCGCGACGCAGCGGGGCACACGAGCGCAGTGGTAGCCTGCCTGCCTGTCTGGTTCACGGCGCTCCTCTCTACATATACGGACCGCGGGAGTGTTACCACGATTACAAACCGCCCCGTTCTGCGACGTCGAAGGGTAAAGAGAGAGATACTCGCCGCCTTGTTTCTACGCCACTAACAATGCTTCTCTTCTTCCATTCAAAATCCTCCGCGAGACCTACATACTTGCTTTCTGATAAATATTAGGTCATCCTATAAGTAACGCAGCATTTTTTCTTCTCGGGGTGTTCGGAGCATTCTTTTTTTCGGGGATACATGGACTGGCCTGTAACTGGCGGTTCAATTCTGAAAGGGATGGTTCTACAGAGAACAATAAGTATAATTTCGATTACAGATAGTACCTACATATTTAAAGTGTCCGACCACTGACCAAATTGATTATGCTAAAATAAATCCTGAAATAAAAGATATCAGTTATAGAACTGCCTATAGGATGATTTGTTGTCCAAGTTTTCTTCATCGAATTCCATGTCTTCTATTCAGAATACTGTCTGGGAATACAAGCAATTTCAGTTGCCTGCGCCGATTATGTATATTCACGGAGGGCAGGTCAACTATATGGCCAAAAATTGGCGTCACGTACCGCGTTCAATAGTGTCGAAACTTGGACCCTATTTGGGAAAGGTACCCCTTTATTTGCATGCGGGCACTGTCATATACGGAATTGGATCTTGCACTTGTCAACGGACCTCGGCCAAGTCTGAAGGATTAACGACGGATACGTCGATAAACTTTGGCTAGATTCGTATCTCTCTGTTTAATCGGTAGGTACGCACGCAGCCGTGGGAACTTCGTATGGGAATTGAAACAGTGTTTAATTTTTGATCAACGAGAAATCAACTCAATTGAAGATTCGAAGTTATTGCGGCTATAGCAAAATATTGCGACCTGAGCTGATATTTCCGAATACAATATTGACCGCCGCGCTGTGGCGTTTTGTGAGTGTGTATTATCGCTCACAAAAGATATTACTCCTTTATGATAAAAATAATTTTTCGCAAGTTAAATATTTATAATTTCAAGCATAATTTAAGAGCAAGTTCTCAGCCACTGAAATCATCGCAGAATTGTATCCACTACTCTCCATGTATAATCACGTAATTAGTCTCGGGGGATTCAATTATACGTATAGAGGGAATACTGTAACTGTGTTTCTACTACTTCGGTTGACAGATCTGGCTTACGAAATACATTAACGCTTCGATGCTGTGTTTCAATAACTTATTCCTCGGTTTGTCCGTTTTTTCAAAAAACTTTTTGATGAAGCGTTTTCGAAGCCAGGGAAGCATCGATAGATTAGAAATGAATTTGTAGAAGTAGACTAGTAAAGAAACATTACCGTATTGGGTGCAATGGACGAAGTAAACGAGTTTATGCGAGGATGGTGTCACACCGATATTCTCTCAAGGAAGACAATCGACGTTGGTTGTGTCGCATTTAGCTCCGTTCTCACGATACACACGCCCCGACGGCTTTCATTTAACAGCTCTCTAGCGACAATTCTCAGCGTAAACTCATTAGGGGCCGGCTAGGAAGGGATAGCTAATTTCCTTTTTTGAATTTCCACGTAGTCGGAGCCGTGTTCCTTATGCAAATTCGACTCTCGATTTTCCATTGGACAGGTAATTTCTGATATTCCTCGTGCGCTCGGTGACCGCGTCTCTTTTGCCTTTTCTATCTTTTGTCCCAGTAATAATTATTTACGGAATACCAATTGTACGAATGCATAATTAGAAAATTGTTGTTATTCTTACCTAATGGAATGTTCGCTATGGATGAAAATGTTAAATAGATTAAATGCAAAATAAAGTAAAAGAAATTACATTTTGTGTATTGAATGTGTATTGAGAAACGAAAACCTAGTAAGGTTCAGATGATACAGATAAACGGTGAACATTTTTTAATCGGTGACGCGAAATTAGCGTAATCTTGTTATAAAAAGAAACATGGAAGTCATTTCGATGAAGAAACGAACATCGTTCCGCCAGTAGCGCGTCGAATTGCCGTCATCTTATTCGCATCCATGGCTGCCTTCACGAACCGTAATCCTTTTTCCTTCCGTACGAGTTTCCCTTTTCATCTCTTTCGACCGGGATCGTTAGCTGGTCCGCAAAATTCTGGTCAATTTTCTTCGTGAAAAAACCATTGACTCGATCGAGACTCTCGATGCTGCTCGATATTCATGAAGTTGATTTTTCGTCGTTGCTCATTAAAAGTATTAAACCAATATGAGCAAGCTGGAATATTTAGCTTCGCGATTCCAGCAGCACATTATGTGTGATTACATTGTTCAGGTAGAATCAAAAAGTTAAAGGAGCATTGACAATCGTTACGACCGTTTACTTTCGGTAGAGCTCTACCTAAGGCTGTAGCTTATGACCAACAATTTTATCAAGTGTCGAGTGTGTAATAAAAGTAGCACGACACTGAGCGGTGAAAGATCCAAATCTAAAACTTGTATAATTATTTCTGTTACACTATGTATATTAAGTCGGATAAGGAGACCTATGTACTATACCTTACTATATGTAGTAAGTCTAAATGGGCACGTAGGTACCTATAGCAATTGTGTTGTGGACAATAAATATCCCAACGCGTCGCCCTTATCTGCAAAAACAAAAATGTATTCCATACCTCTCCTCTAACAGGTAATCCGAATACCCCCTCTCTTTTACGTGTACGTGTATATACATATACCCAGACAAGTGGAAGGAAATGACCAGTTTTTTGCGATCGTTCTTCTCTTTCGTGTGTTTTGTGCTTGTGTCTCTTTGTATTATTTTGTTATCGATTTATTTTTATCGTGAAGTTTCTTATACCTTCGGATGTGGATCTGTGTCTTGTACACTGGTACTTGTGTGTATGCGTGTAGAGAACATGGTGACAGAGGGGAGCATTTGAACATCTACGATAAGTGGCAGTAAGTTAAGGAAACAATTTGAATAGGTGAGTCTGCTTCGTTTGAGAATAATAAGTCGGTTGATGTGTGTAAACATCTTAGCTGTCCATAATTAAATGTCGCGTGTTATCCAACGACTGTTTTCAATCCTTCAGTGTTGAATATCGATGATAAGAATGTCGAGTGAGTTTCCATTCGACAATGGAATATGCTCGTCCAGAAGAAATTGATTAATAATTATAAAAAGTTGTCGAATATCGTTGGTCTACAGATTACAAAGTTTTCGGACTCGTACCAATATTCATTCCCAGACACTACGCCGTTACACAC